CTTCCCATCTTTTCCCATATCCTCTGCGGAATCGACGCTTCACTGTGTCTGTGTGTTTTCCCCTCCTGAATATCGAAGATCTCGGAGGGAGGCCCACAGCGGGGACGCACATAACGCCCGTTGGCAAAAAACGCTCTTTGGCGCAAGCGGCCGAATGACGAGACCCAGCGGGCGCGGCAGGCCCGCCCAAAAAGCTGCAGGCGCGCGGCGCGCCCTCGGGAACCGGCGGGGAGCAGCTCGCCAAAATCGGCTTGGCAGCGCGGGGCAACCTCCGCCAAGGAAAGGCGTCAAGACGATTATGAGGGGCGTGTTCTCCACCACCACCACCAGAAGTTGGAGGGGGTCCTCCTCCATCTCCTCCTCCTCCTCCTCTTCGTCGTCGTCCTCCTCCTCCTCCTCCTCCTCCTTCACCTCCTTCCCCCCTCCATGTTATGGTGGTGGTGGAAAACAAGCCCATCAGAGTACGCGTCCAGCCACACACACACACACCCTCACACTTTGCGTCCGCGGCTGGGCAGGTTGAATGCGCTGGCGGACAAGCACACCTTGGCCGAACCCATGCGAATGAAACCGCAGTGCGCGGGGGAAAAAAGAAGATCGCCCAGCGACGGCGGAAGGGAGCCCAGCCACACACACGAGGTGCCCCCCCCGCTCCGCGAGGCCGCCCGGCCCGACACGGACGCCCGCTCCACGCCCTCCAGCGAGGCCCTGTGTGTGTCGGGTGCCTCTCAAGGTGCCCCTGGTCCAAGGTGCCCCCAGCTGCTCGCTCTCCTCTGGAGCCCCCAAGGCACCCTGGGCCTCGTCAGGGCTGGACCCAAGCGTTGTGCGTTCGATTCGTTGTCGCTCTGTTGATCGTTTTGCTCGACCTGTTTTCATGCGCCCCCCCCAAAACGAAAAACAAAAGACAGCCGCTCCACGCCCTCCAGCGAGGCCCTGTGTGTGTCGGGTGCCTCTCAAGGTGCCCCTGGTCCAAGGTGCCCCCAACTGCGCGCTCTCCTCTGGAGCCCCCAGGGCACCCCGGGCCTCGTCAGGGCTGGCCCCAAGCGTTGTGCGTTCGATTCGTTGTCGCTCTGTTGTTCGTTTTGCTCGACCTGTTTTCCTGCGCCCCCCTCCCAAAACGAAAAACAAGACACAGCCGAAGTCCAGCAACACAGCGTTTAGGTCCAGCCCTGGGCCTCGCGAGGGGTGCTCTGGAGCCAATGGGGGCCCCCTTGGAAATCCTGGGGGGCTTCCGGGCCAGGGGCAATTCTGGGCAGCTCCCGAATGCGAGCCACGAGAAGACGTCGGCCTTACGCACGGGGGCAAGGCACCCTCACTCCCGAAGCCTGCGCCTCCCAAAATCTCTTGGGACATCCTGGGGTTTCCCGGGGTTTCCCAAGGGCCTCGTGGATCCTCCTGGAGCCTCCTGAAACATCCTGGGGGTTCCTGGGATTCCCCGGGGGTTTCCTGACACTTTTTGGGACGTCCTGAAGCCTCCTGGAATGACCTGGGGCTTCCTGGGTCCTCCTGAAGCCTTCTGGGGTTTCCTGGGTCCTCCTGGGGCCTCCTGGGGTTTCCTTGGGGTCGTTGGGGCTTCTCCTGAAACCTCCTGGGGCCTCCTGAAGTTTCCCGGGGCCTCCTCGGCTCGTGCTGGAATTCCAGCGCAGTCTTTGAGACGCGCCATAATTTTTTATCGGTAACGGCCATCGCGGCTGCATCAGCTGTGGCAAACCACCTTGCCGATCTGATTCGGGTCCCCAGATGCGCCACCACTGTTTCTCATGTTGTGGGAGGGCGGGTGGGACTGGGCATCCCATGCTTGACTCGCTCGAGCTAGCTAGCTTGACTCCTACTCCTACTCCGATCCTTATTCCTTATTAGAACATGCTCGTACTCCCTTTGGTTTGGCGATAGGGGTCCCATCCGGGCCCGCCCATCCTAACTATAAAAAATCAATACAGACTCGTCGTTTTTTTCTCAACATGGCCTTTCTTGTCATCGACAATGCGAAATGCGTAGCAAGAACAAGGCGCGGCGCACATCGAGCGCGGCCGTTAATCCGGGCCCTCCCATCCGAACAAAGAAAAAACAATACAACATTGCTGTTTCTCTATCAACATGGCCTTTCCTGTCGTCGAAGAGGCGAAACGCGTAGCAATGCTGCGCCGATCCGAAAATTTCCCCACTCTCGCCACTGTGCCGGCCGCGGCCATCTGGGGTGGCGCGCGGAGGACGTGACTCGCGGGGCCCGAGGGCGGACGGGGACGATGTCGCGAGGGCAGAGTCGGCGCGCCGATGGGCAGCCCAGCGCCCCGTTTGGCTGGAAGGGGCCCAGTACAACGCAAGGGCAGAGCCCAACCACCGCCCGGGGTCGCGGGATCGGGTTCCCTTTCCCAATTCAAAAGTTTACATCTTAAACGGTGTACTGACCCGAAAATGAGCAAACGGCATGGGACCTCCTCGAAATAAGCTTTCGGGTTTGGTCATACGCCGGCCCGAAAGTTTATCGGCCGACCTGAAAGTGCCCAAATCCCATAGGACTTGTGCCACAACAAAAATCGGGTCCGGTTCGAACGACCCGACAATGTGCAAACCGCCTAGGAATCCGTGCAAAAAAAACATAGTTATCGAGGTCTTCGGGCCCACTCCGAAGAAACCGAACATGAGCAAACCGATCAAAAAACGGTTTCTCAGTGGTTCCGGGCCTCGTCCGAAGGAGCCGCCGATGGGCAGACCGCTCAGGACTTCCTGCACAAGAAACGGTTTCCCGGGTGAGCCATTGTCAAAAAGGGAACGCGCCCCGCGCGGGATCGGGGTTCGCGCGGGGGCGCGGCTGCTCTCGCCTGTCCAGGGGGGCATGCATTGTCGCGCCCGTCCAGCATAGCGTTTGCGCTGCATTCGCGCGGCGCCGTGCCTCTCAAATCGGAATAATTTTCGGAGCGCCGATGTAATGGGACGCGGTGCACATCGCGCGCGGACGTCTGGGGCAACCCCAACCGGGAGGGGCCATCCGACCTGTCAGAACCATACAAAGTCGACATGTTTCTTCTCAGTGGGAATTTTCTTGTCGTCGGCTTTGCGAAATGCGTGGCAGGAAGGGGGCGCGATGCACATCGCGCGCGTCAGGGCAAAATGTCGCTCTCGCCTCGGTGCCGCGCGCATGTTTTCTGAAAGTTGCGCTCCCGCTGAGGCGCGGCACACATTCTTCGCTCGTCAATGTGTCGAGCGCCTAGAGCCCCCTGGGGCCTCCCAGGGTCCTCCTGAAGCCTCCTGGGGTTTCCCCAGGGCCTCGTGGATCCTCCTGGAGCCTCCCGAAACACCCTGAGGCTTCCTGGGATTCCCCGGGGACTTCCTGACACTTCTTAGGGCTTCCTGAAGCCTCCTGGAATTACCTGGGGTTTCCTGGGCCCTCCTGAAGCCTTCTGGGGTTTCCTTGAGGTCGCTGGGGCTTCTCCTGAGGCCTCCTGGGGCCTCCTGAGACTTCCTGGGGCCTCCTCGGCTCGTGCTGGAATTCCAGCGCAGTCTTTGAGACGCGCCAGGGATTTCTCATCAGTAACCGCCATCGCGACTGCATCAGCTGTGGCAAACCACCTTGCCGATCTGATTCGATCCCCAGTTGCGCCAGCACTGTTTCTCATGTTGTGGGAGGGCGGGTGGGACTGGGCGTCCCATGCTTGACTCGATCGAGCTGGCTAGCTTGACTCCTACTCCTACTCCTACTCCTCCTCCTCCTCCTCCTCATTCCTCCCCGCCCTCCCCCTCTCCTCCTCCGCCTCCTGCTGCTCCTCCTCCTCCTCCTCCTCCTCCTCCTCCTCCGGGCTCGTCCGACCCGATCCTGAAACCTCGATCCCCAGAGGTCGGGGATCGGCGGCGAGCCCTGGGGGGAAAACAGGAGAAGACCTTCTCAGAAGGCTCGGAGGCCCCCGACACCGCAGGAGGCTTTCCCCGAAACCGCAGAAACAACTTCTCACAAGCCCGGAGGGCTCCTGAGAAACTCCGCCGCCTCCCGAGAGGTTCTCCTTCTCGCTTCCCGAAGGGTACACGGAAGTCTCGACCCCTTCCCTAGGGCCGGCGTCTCCTCGCCAGGTTCGGTTGGAGGTTCCCGCCCCCCCATAGGCTAAAGACAGAGAGCCACTTCCACGCTCAGTCTTTCGTCAACTGCGGTGGGTTCGTGCGGCGTTGGCGCGCGCGAAGGGTTTGACACCGCGTCCATCATTCAACATTGGATCAATCGGGGCCCCGATCGTGCAAGATTGAATTCAATCGGGTCCATCGGCGTTAAAGTCAACCCGTATGATAAGGATGTGCGGTAAGGATGCAAGGGCCTTGGAAGGCCTGTGCTGGTGGATCAGGGCAGGGGGGGGAGGCGGAGGAGGGTGAGGAGGAAGAAGAGAAGCAGAAACTCTGACTCAAGAGCCCGACGGATCTCGCGAGCAAGACCCTGCCGCCCCCACACGAGCTCTCGCCTCGCCGAAACCTGAGACGGCTAGAACAATATCTTGGGAAACCGAGAGGTACCGATACCGCTGCTCCCTGGACCGCTCCCGGGGTGCGTCCTGACCAGAATTTCGAGGCGCATCCAGCGGTGGCGACGAGAGCCTCCCAGGAGGCCCGAAAAGACAAACACGAGGGGGAAGGGTAGATGTATGGGTGCCCTTTCCTTCTCTGAAAAGACGTTCGGATTGGAACGGGGAGAACGAGGGAAGGGCAGCAATATGGGTACCTTCTCCTCCTCCGAATTTCAGTACGTCGGGGGCGCGCAAACATGGATTAGCGATCCACGGATTTGGCGCGCGGTCGCCAAATCCATGGATCGGAGGGAGGTGCCCTCCCCAAGATGCGGCTGGTGCCGCCTCGCTCGGCGGCGGAAGCCCGCGATTTCCCCTGGACGCGGGACCCGTCGCTAATCCACCCCCCCCCCGATCCATGCTTGCGATCGCCCGCGTATAGGGGCACCTTCTCCTCCTCCAGACTTCGGTATACAGCAGCTCTCCCACCAGCGGGGCCCGCGGCCGCGGCGCCTCCATCCACAGCCGCGGGGCGAGGCCCAGCACCTCCTCGCGCGGCGCGGAGGGACCCATGCGCCCGCCCAGGGCCCCGTCACGGCGCCCCGGCCGCGGGTCCCAGGCGTCTCCACTGCCTTTGTGCCTTCTGTGCGGCTTCGTGCGTGCCCTTCTGTCGCACGATAACCAATCGGGTGCTGCCTGGCCCAGGGCGCCCCCAGGATTCTCGGGGTGGCCCAGGTGGCCAAGGCGCCCCGCACGAGGCCCAGGGGGCCCCAGGCGGCCCAACATGGAGGGACAAGCTGGGGGGCATCTTGGGCCAGGGGCACGTCCAGCAACGCCCGAACCCGACATGCTCTGCGATGCTTCCTGCCGGGGAAAGAATACACACGTCCGAGCGATGCCGAGCAACTCCCAGGAAGGGTCGCGTAGGCGCCGAAGGGGGGGACCGCCCAGGGGCCCGCGAGACCGAAGCGCGGCGGAGGGCCAGAGCAGACCACGAGCGGCGGCGTGATCTTTGTTCGCAGGACGGCCCCAAATGCTCCTCGACGGTCCCTGCGGAGGCCTTCCCGAAACCACGTCCGAACGATGCCAAATGGGGGGAAGGGGAGGGGAGAGGGGACCGACCGGTCTCCTACCACGAGGTGTTCTCAGGACCCCAACTTGCTCTCAGAACAAAAACAATGCTCTTAGAACATAAACCCGATGTGTCAAAACAAGACGGTCCCATCCAGACATGTTCTAAGAACAGCTCGTGGGAACCACAAAAGGTTATTAGAGCGTTGTTTGGTAGGGCTATAGGCACGCAAGGACGCTTCGCCACTGCTTGAGGGAGGGGAGAATGGGGGAGGGCAAGCCGGGCGTGCTGGCGCCGCATCTGACGTCGCACCGCGGGTTTGTGTCGCGTAGACTTCGGCGTGGGTTCCTGACACCGCGGAGATCGTTCAACTTTGAACGATCGGCCGTTTCCGAAACGTCAGGTCTTTCACAACATCGACCGATTCTGGGTCGCCGGTGGCGTTCAGACGTTGAACGCTGGCGGCGGGGTCGCCGCCAGTCCACACGGCTCGAACCTATCGTACCCCTCCCTACCCGTTGCCCTGATTCCCTCTGTCTGCGGACAGTTGTCGTAGCAGAGTCTGCTAAGCAGACCTGGAATTCCAGGTCTGCTAAGCAGACCTGGAATTCCAGAAGGGACTCCAAAAGGGACCAAATCGTGTTGTGAGCAACTCGAAGAATGGGGGTTGAATACACAGGAGTTTGCGAGTGAGCAGGAGGATGACAAGAGGAAAGGGAGGAGGATCAGGAAGGAGGAGTACGAACAGCATCAAGAACTGGAATGCAAGGAGCGGGTAGAGCAGGATGCCCAGGGGAAGGCAGAGGAAGGAACACATCGGGGCGACGACGATGAGGAAGGACTCAGGTCCGGAAGTGGTCCGCGCTGAGGCGAGAGGGCAATCCTGAACGACGGCAACAGAGCACCGATCCTAACATGAGGCCCACGCTGTAACGGGGACACGGTTGTGATTAACCAGAAAAGTTAGGATCCCTAACCCTTGGGAGGGGGCCTCAGTTAGGAGGGCCCAGACCATTGGGGATAGGGTTTTTTTTTCTGCAGATGCATCGAACCAAACCGCCCCGAAATATCATCCCTAATGCACAGACGGGGACCTGAGTGAGGCCACGTCTTCAGCGTGTGCTCGGTGATTTGGAAGGAACAGAGAGCGTTCCGATTGGACGAGGACACAAGAAGCAAGAACGCCGCTTGGACCCCTCCCGTGCCACAAATCCTCACAGCCCGGCGGGGGGGTCGCGCGACTCCCTCGGGCGCCGCCTTCTTCGGGGGAGGGAGAGAGGGAACCTCCGTGCTCGGAAGTAGCGTGCAGCCCCCGACGTCATGATTTTTTCACTACGCGACCCCCTGAGGTCCGGACCTATTCGCCAGGACCGGTTTTCATCCCGAGTCGTTTTTTGACGGTCCCGAGGGCCAGTAAGGGCCCCGAGAGGCCGACAATCTAGAAAAACCTGTCGTCGTAATTTTTCCATGGCTCGAGGGGGTGTGGGGCTGGAGAGGGGGGGGGAGAGGAGGCCAGGGCACCGACGAGCCAGAGGGAGGGGGACGGGGTGTCGGAGCGAGGGGGGGGCCAGGGTCGGCGGCGAGCGAGGGGGGGGGGAAGCGAGAACGGGCGGGCCTCCTCGAAAGGCCCGGAAGTCCCCCCCTCCCGGGCCTTCCGCGCAGTTCTCTGAGCCCTTCCCGGAGGCACCGGCGCAGCTTCTCCGAGGGCTTCCGAGGGCCTCTAATGAGGCCCGCAGCCTCCAGAGGACCTCCTCGCTTCCCCCCTTTCGCTCGCCGCCGCCAGGGTTAGGTCGGGCGTGTCCCCCTACAGGGGGATTCTGGACGAACAAATATTCAAAACATGCCCAAACACACCCCCAAATACTCCCAAAATCGTCCCCCGACTATTTTTTCATTATTCTTGAATCTTCCTCCTGTAGAGCGACAGGCGCGACTTCACGACATGGGGGAGGGGCAAGGCCTGGGGTGGGGCGGAGGGGGGAGGGAGGGGCGCAGCGGCAGGAGCGGGCGAGATCGAGGGTGGGGGGGGGGGGCCCTGCGCGCGGCGAGCGGAGCCTGGGTCCCCCCGCACTCCCCCTGACCTTCCAGGAGGGCTCAAAAACTAGCACCGAGGACCTCGACATCTAAATTCCCGTCGAGGTTTTAGGCAGTTCCGATCGGTCTATGGGTCTGGAGGGCTGTGTTTTAGCACTCTGGAAGGTCAGTGTCCCCCCCTCCCTTCGCAGGCTCGCTCCTTGTCCACGGCGGCCCAGTGCACCCGCTCCTGGGCGCTCTTCTGCAGCTTCCTTGGAAGACAAACGCGCCATAGACATGAACTGTTGGCGCTCCGCGCGGATTTCTTGGATCCGCGCTGGGCACCCCCGGAGCGGCGCCAAGGGCGGCGCCGGAGGCGCCGCCAGGGGCGGCCCAGCGCAGATGCAGGAAATCCGCGCGGAGCGCCGCAAGTGAATGTTCATGGCGTTGCGTCTTCTTCGGCTCCTGTTCCGCTTCTCCATGATCTCCAGTGACCTCTGGGACTGCTCCAGCGTCTCCAGCCGCGTCTGGGTCGCTCTCCTGGGGCGCCAGGGGGGATGGGGGGGGGCGAAACGCGTGAGTGGCGAAGGGCCCAGCCCCCCCCGCGTCGTGGGCAGAATCAAAACGGAGTTTGTGTTGCTAGGTTTAGGCGTAAGTCGAGCCTGTCCCTTTACAGGAATAGTATTCCAAAGTAGTCACAAATAGTCAGGGGACGACTGTTTGACTATGTTTGACTTTGGGTGCATTTGTTTGCGATGTTTGATTTTTCGTCCAAAATCCGCCTGAAGGGGGACAGGTCCGACCTAACGTTAGGTCGGGCATGTCCACCTACAGGCGGATGTTGGAAGAAAGTTGGGAAGTAGTCAAGAAATATGTTCGACTAAAATCAAGCATGGTAGAAAAATCGTTCCCATAGCCTTTGTGGGGCGTTTTTTGAACATTCCTCCTGTAGTTGGACATGCCCGATTTGATGCTAGGGGCTGCCTCCTGCGGCTGTCGCTGGGCCCCGGGACCGTCGACAATAACTGCTCGGGAGGAAACATATGTTTCGGGGGAATGGGTCGAGACCTCTGAGGGTCCGCGTCATGAGCGAATCTGAGTGAAAACGGCCTTGGACCGAAACCGACGGACCCGGACCCGCAGAAGTGACGGCCGCGGCGCCCTCTCGCGAACCGAAAACGGCCAAAAATCGCTAATCGACGTGTCAGGGTGGGAGGTCGATCAACCTCCGAGAATCCTGACGTCGCGGGGGTCCACAGGGAGAAAGGAGATGAAGGGGAACTGGAACACACAAATAAATACACACAAATAAAAATATCCCCCATATGTTCCCATATTTTCTGGGTTTTTGTCTTCCCCCCCACTTCCCACATTTTCCTTGCATCTTTTCCTGGGAATCGACGATTAATTGTGTCTGTGTGTTTCTTTCCCTCCTGAGGAGAGGAGCTCGAGACCCTACGCGGCGCCATGCGCAGGACAGGCGCCCGCACGCCGCCCTGCACGGGAGGCGCACGCGCGCCCGTCCGAGCCCCTGGCCAACCGTCCCGAGCCGTGCGTGGGTGAAGGGGCCCCAGGACACACAAATAAATACACACAAATAAAATTATCCCCGACATTTTCCCATGTTTTCTGGGTTTTTGTCTTCCCCCCCACTTCCCATATTTTCCAATATTTTCCTTGGAATCGACGATTAATTATGTCTGTGTGTTTTTTTCCCCTCCTGAGTGGGGGCGCCGCGGAGACGTCACGGCGGGCGCGTCGGGTTTCCGGACTCGGGCCGCCGGGGGGCCATCACGGATCGATCGGCCTCAGAGCTCCTGTGTCCGCCGCCGTGCCCCGAGGAACCAAGTTTGAGTCGGGCGTGTCCCCCTAGCGGCGGATTCTGGACGACAAAGAAAAATATATAGAACTATTCTGAACAAGGCAAAGAATGGTCAAAAGTCGTCCCCAGACCATGTTTTGACTATTACCTAACAGCTTGTTCTGATAGGTTTCTAGTGGTGTCAAAAGGGAGCAGCAGATGACTCCACAGGGGGGTCTGGGCGGGTGCCGGACAGGGTGCCGCAGAAGTCGTTTTAAACAACAGTCACACACTTCGTGCTCTTCGACTTCCCAGAAATCCATTCCCGGGCCACATTCTGAATGCCCGGAGCCAACTGTAAACCACTTCGTGCTCTTCGACTTCCCAGAACTCCATTCCCGGGCCACATGTTGAATGTCCAGAGCCAATTGTAGGCCACTTCGTGGTCTTCGAGCCCCCAGAACTCCATTCCCGGGCCACATTTTGAATGCCCGGAGCCAACTGTAGGCCACTTCGTGCTCTTCGACTTCCCAAAACTCCACTCCCGGGCCACATTTTGAATGCCCGGAACCAACTGTAGGCCACTTCGTGCTCTTCGAATTCCCAGAACTTCATTCCCGGGCCACATTTTGAATGCCCGTAGCCAACTGTAGGCAACTTCGTGCTCTTCGACTTCCCAGAACTCCCATTCCTGGGCCACATTTTCAGCAGGGGCAAGAGCACGACGAGGAGGAGGACGAGCAAGACCAGGAGGACGAGGACGAGCAGGAGCAGGACGAGGAGCAGGAGGAGCAGGAGAAGAAGGACGAGCAGGAGGAGGAGGAGGACGAGCAGGAGGAGGAGGAGACCAGAAGGAGGGGACGACCGGGAAGGAGGAGGAGGAGGAGGAGGAGGAGGAGGGGGGGGGAGGACTACCAGGAGGAGGAGGAGGAGGAGGAGGAGGAGGAGGAAGAGGAGGAGGAGGGAGGAGGAGGAGGAGGAGGAGGACGAGGAGGAGGAGGGGGGGGAGAGCACCAGGAGGAGGAGAACGAGGACCACCAGGAGGAGGAGGAAGGAGGAGGAGGAGGAGGAGGAGGAGGAGGAGGAGGAGGAGGAGGAGAGAACACCAGGAGGAGGAGGACGAGAGACGAGGACGAGGAGGAGGAAGAGGAGGAGGAGGGGAGGGGGAGGAGGAGGAGGAGGAAGGAGGAGGAGGACGAGGAGGAGGAGGAGGAGGAGGAGGACGAGGAGGAGGAGGGGGGGGGAGAGCACCAGGAGGAGGAGAACGAGGACCACCAGGAGGAGGAGGAGGAGGAGGAGGAGGAGGAGGAGGAGGAGGAGAGAGCACCAGGAGGAGGAGGACGAGCAAGACGAGGAGGACGAGAACGAGGACGAGCAGGAGGAAGAGGAGGAGGAGGAGGAGGAGGAGGAGGAGGAGGAGGAGCAGGAGAAAGGAGGAGGAGGAGGAGGAGCAGGAGAAAGAGGACGAGCAGGAGGAGCACGAGGACGAGCAGGAGGAGGAGGAGGAGGACGAGCAGGAGGGGAGGGCGGCCGGCTGCCCCGGCCGGCTGCCCCGACCGGCCGCGCTTGCGCCCGGCCGCGGAGCGCGGTCAAGGGAAGGGGGCGGGGGCGGGCGGTCAAGGTTGATACCCCCTCCTCGCTCGTTCCACTGCCTGCTCGCAGCAGTGGCGCCAGCACATGCACAAGAGATTCCTGCATGAACTGTTGTACTTGCATATCTGATGGCCTTCGGCCAAGGTCGTGCGCACCAGGGCTCTGAGGAAGGCTCCCTGCGCCCTTCTGGGGAGCCCCTCTGGGGAGCCCCTCGGACGAATTATTCGGGCCTTCTGCTCGCCATGTCGGGCCTTCCTGGGGGACGGACACACCAGACGAATTATTCGGGTCTTCTGCTCGCCATGTCGGGCCTTCCTGGGGGACAGACACACAAACATGGGCCTCTCATATGTGCGCGCCGACTTAAGGCGACGCATGTGCCTGGTCCAGCACGCGCGGTGCCCCCGGGGAGGGGTTGCGGTTTTGCCAGATTGTGAGGACGTTTCAGAGCGGAACGCCCCTCCACATCCTTCCTGATCCCTCACTCATTTCAACCCGCGCTCCCTCAGGTGCACACTGCCGGCGCCAGCGCGAAGATAACAAGCACCTGGGGGGCGCCCCGTTCCGCGAATCCCACTGCAGAGCGGGGATCTCGACCCCCCAATGGGATTCGTGGAGCGGGGGGGGCCTTGAGAGGCCGAAGCATTTTTTGGGGCGGGGGGGGCTGCCCCGTTCCCTCGGATGGGCACAGCCCCCCCCTCGCCGGCCTCCTCTCCTTGATCCCTCCTCCTAACGTAACGCGCCCGCTTTAAGTTAGTGCATATGATACATCGACATGCTGTTCGACCCAAAGATGCTCCTACACATGGCTGTTAGGTTGCTTTGCCGGGATAATTACCTAACAGCTTGTTCTGATAGGTTTCTAGTGGTGTCGAAAGAGAGCAGCAGATGACTCCACAGGGGGGTCTGGGCGGGTGCCGGACAGGGTGCCGCAGAAGTCGTTTTAAGCAAACAGTCACACACGTCGTGCTCTTCGACATCCCAGAACTCCATTCCCGGGCCACATTCTGAATGCCCGGAGCCAACTGTAGGCCACTTCGTGCTCTTCGACTTCCCAGAACTCCATTCCCGGGCCACATTTTGAATGCCCGGAGCCAACTGTAAGCCACTTCGTGGTCTTCGAGTCCCCAGAACTCCATTGCCGGGCCACATTTTGAATGCCCGGAGCCAACTGTAGGCCACTTCGTGCTCTTCGAGTTCTCAGAACTCCATTCCCGGGCCTCATTTTGAATGCCTGGAGCCAACTGTAGGCCACGTGCTCTTCGAGTTCCCAGAACTCCATTCCCGGGCCACATTTTGAATGCCCGTAGCCAACTGAGGCTGAGGCAGGCTGCTGCTGAGGCAGGCTGAGGCTGAGGCTGAGGCAGGCTGAGGCTGAGGCAGGCTGAGGCTGAGGCTGAGGTTGAGGCTGAGGCTGAGGCTGAGGCAGGCTGAGGCAGACGCTGAGGCAGGCTGATGCTGAGGCAGGCTGAGGCTGAGGCTGAGGCTGATGCAGGCTGAGGCTGAGGCTGAGGAAAAGGTTGAGGCTGAGGCTAAGGTTGAGGCTGAAGCTGAAGCAGGCTGAGGCTGAGGCTGAGGCAGGCTGAGGCTGAGGCTTAGGCAAGCTGATACTGAGGCAGAGGCTGAGGCTGAGGCTGAGGCAGGCTGAGGCTGAGGCAGGCTGAGGCTGAGGCAGGCTGAGGCTGAGGCTGAGGCTGAGGCTGAGGCAGGCTGAGGCTCAGGCTGAGGCAGGCTGCAGGCTGAGGCTGAGGCTGATGCAGGCTGAGGCTGAGGCTGAGGCAGGTGAGGCTGAGGCTGAGGCTTGAGGCTGAGGCTGAGGCAGGCTGAGGCTGAGGCTGAGGCTGAGGCTGAGGCTGAGGCTGAGGCTGAGGCAGGCTGATGCTGAGGCAGGCTGAGGCTGAGGCTGAGGCTGAGGCTGATGCAGGCTGAGGCTGAGGCTGGCTGAGGCTGAGGCCGAGGCTGAAGGCAGACTGAGGCTGAGGCTGAAGCAGGCTGAGGCGAGGCCTGATGCTGAGGCTGAGGCAGGCTGATGCTGAGGAGGCTGAGGCTGCAGGCTGAGGCTGAGGCTGAGGCAGGCTGAGGCTGAGGCTGAGGCAGGCTGATGCGGAGGCTGAGGCTGAGGCTGAGGCTGAGGCTGAGGCTGAGG